GTTTCGTCCTGCATGGCGTTATTCTTGAACTTGTGTCGTTCCCCTGTATAGAGTCCTGCGATTAGGCCGGCTCCCTTCGTTCTTGACTTGGTGTATCCATCGTTGAGGTTTGTACTTGGATTATCCTTTACTATTTGTTAAGTAGTACCGTACCATCTTGATAGTTGTTATCAATGGTTTAGTTTGCAATTTAGACCCTAGTATGGTGAAATATCCTAAGTTCATCTTGTGACCGGCAGCTAATAAAACGGCAGCTTTCTGGATAGTCAAGAATATACTTATTCCCTGAGGAAAAATTGAAAAAAACCATGTGGAAACTGAAAGAAAACACAGATGCCACAAAAGGCGGAACTGTAGGTTTGACTTACGTCTTCTTTAATTTTATCAATTTCCTCTCCCAGACGCTTGACAGCATCCGTCAGCGCCTGTGCCTCATCCAGAGCCTTTGACACTTGATTGTGAATGCCCTGAACGTCACTTTCCAGTTTGTCCAGATCACGTTTGATGTCCTCCTTCATTGCCTCCATCTCCTGCAACTCAGCCTTCGTCCGTGCGACATACTTGTTGAAGGCTAGTAATTGAAGGCCTTAAATTAGAACTTGTTCATCCAAATACGTAAGCGGTAGTCTAGGCTATAAATAATTAAATCGGCCGCTGATCACCGATTTAGTGGTGCGTTAGTTGTAATTTTAAATATTACCTTCCGTGCGGCCAGTAAGTCAGGATTTAGAGTGACTATTAACAGATGATCTGGTGCTCGATACGTCTTCTTCCTCGTCCATGCAAATACCTGGATCGCAAACCTTCTAATTTATTCGGTGACTATTAATGACTCTCTCTTTAAAGCTTTTAATATTTTGAAGTGTTTTTATAACTATCCGGGAGGCGACTTATCTACCGCATTTGTCACTGGGTATATAACGCTTAGCAGCGTTTAATATCACACAGTAATGTCGTTGTGTTCCTGTGCCAGGTGTAATGTGTCTCACGACCAGGCAGTCGGTCTTTGAAGGCGGGCCTTTACCAAGTTTTCTGTAAGTGTCTTCACAACACCTCAGGGCAATAAATTATTACGTTTTATGTTCACGCGCTAACAATATTCCGTATCCAGTTGTATATTATTTTTGTCATCTGCGGAAAATGGCCGATTTATGAATTTGCTGTTGATGAAAATCAAGTTGGGCAGATATTTTTGCAAACAAAGACAAGGGAGACTGGAATGGCCATTTCTGGCTTATAAACCATCATCAGCTAGTCATAATCAACGCCAAGTGGTGCACCACCCGAGGCTCGAATGCGCGACCTGGTTGATCAGAGTCTAACGCCCTTATCATTGAGCCGGCAATACTATCTACCTAGCATACTAGGCGCTACGGGTGCTGTCAGCGGCTAAGAATGAAAACCATGGCAAAGCGAGATGAGTTAGATCCGTTAGCAATCGGTGAACGTTCCTCAACGTGTATAAAAATTAATTTAGTCGGAGTTTTAACGCCTGGCAACTGATGATGTTCGTAATGTGAGGGCATTTCCAAAATCAATTCATAATTTATTTTTTTGGCTACGGGACGGTCACCACCTGGCATTGGATGATCATTGCTTGATGACAAAAAGTGTGCCAAATTATTATTTAATTTACAAATGCTGTTCTTAGCATAACTTTTCGATCACTGACGGCTACTGGATTGTAAACGTTGACTCCATACGCTTGACCAGGCTATTAATGAAAATTTGAATTATCACCCCGTATAACTATTGATTTTCGGCACTTATTAAAAGTTAATTGTTCATTGCACATTGCCTGTTAGTCTGAAGACGAGCTGCGGCACCAGACTCGAAAACTTACTAATTAAAGTTATGTTTTATCTCAAAGAACAAATTCTTCTTCAAATTAAAATGTCTTGGGATGAGTGTTTCTCAGTTTGTACGAATACTCTTGGGTTTCTAATGTAGTGCCTG